TGACTGACTATAGAGCTTGGGAAAAGGAAGAGTTGAAGAAAATCTTGATTTCCCTGCCACAGGAAATCAAGGGTATCAAGGAAGATAAACTAGTGTAAAAGTAAAGAGTGATAATAATAACAATTCAAGATCCAAATAAGAAATTTCAGATGGAAAAGAACATCCAATAATAGACAAAGCTCAGAATAAGAATGAAAAGACCAATAGATAGACAGGGAGTTCCTAGATATAGTCTTATAAATCCATTGCAGGGTCACATTATTACAAATCCCTATCCTTATACTCGGCTACTTAGTTCTGTGGGCATTTTTTTTTTTTTTTTTTTTGGTGATGATTCAGAGTTTCTCTCTGTTCTTATCAAGAGGGACACAGGCTGAACTGTTTATGCAATGATAAGTTACATAGTCCAGTGCATAGCTTAATTCACTATGAAAATTTTCAAGGAGGTACTTTTTAAGATCTTTTGGAAATTTAGTGCTTAAAGGAAAATCTTTGAATCCTCAACTGACTTACAAATGAAGGAGGAAAGTAATTTCTACAGATGAGATCTAGTTTCCCTGCCTTAAGGTTTGCTTCACCAAATTGTATGCCAAAAGATGAATTTCTCTGCTTCATTTGAAGAAAGTTTTAGAAAGAAGGGGAAAGGTGAATACTGGGTGAATATTCACTGATTTTAATTTAAAGTTACACCCCTTTCCGTTACAAAAATATTCTTTTAGACATTTTTCTATGCTACAAAACCTCATTTAACACTAGGAATTTAGGTACTAGATGGACTTAAAGATAGTATTAATGAGCAACACTTGTTATGAGTTATATTCAAATTAATAGTCTATATCTATATACACATTTTCCTCTCTCAATTTTTTAACAGGCATTTGAAGGAACCAAGCAATCTAAGGAGTTTGCACAAACGACTTCCCTTCTTGCAAGATGTAGCAAGATGCAGTAATTTCCCTGAGCACAGAGGAATTAAACTTATTAAAGTGAAGGGGGAATCTTTGCCAATAAGTGCTTCACCAGGATTCATAAACTGGCTTGGGAAGGAAGGAATAGAACATCAGAATCTAGCTACGTGTCATTAGTCTTTCTGCCCTTGCAAAAACATGAGTCATACACTCACATAACTCATGCGAACTCTGAATTGCAACAAATTCTGAAATCTTGGAAGTGTCCATAGGTGAGTAGTAAGAGAAAGCAAAGGTGGAGGGACCAAAAGAAGCTGAAGGGCTGTGTCCCTCCCAGGCTGCAGTCCAGCTGAGAGTGTCTAAGGGACAGAAAATACACGGTTTGGGGGGAGATCTTAACCAAGACCCACAATGGATCAGATCTGGCCCTCAGAGAAAAAAGTTGGCAATGTCCAGATCACATACCAAAAAGCCAGGTGTATACGCAGAGTTGGTAGACAGCCTGGAGACCCAACCAGCAGAGAGAATAAGCACTATCACAAATATGAGTTGGCTAAGGCTAAACACTGATGAATTAATAGGTGCCCATGATCCACTCTAGATACATCAGGACTCAGTCGTGTCCGACTCTTGCACACCCATGGACTGCAGCACACCAGCTTCCCTGTGTATCACCAAATCCCGGAGCTTGCTCAAACTCATGTCCATTGAGTAGGTGATGCCATCCAACCCTCTCATTCTCTGTCATCAACTTCTCCTCCTGCCTTATATCTTTCCCAGCATCAGGGTCTTTTCAAATGAGTCGGTTCTTCACATCAGGCAGCCAAAGTATTGCAGTTTCAGTTTCAGCATCAGTCCTTCCAATGAATATTCAGGACTAATTTCTTTTAGGATTAACTGGATGGATCTCCGGGCAGTCCAAGGGACTCTCAAGAGTCTTCTCCAACACCACATTTCAAAAGCATCAATTTTTCAGTGCTCAACTTTCTTTTTAGTCCAACTCTCACATCCATACATGACTACTGGAAAAAAACATAGCTTTGACTAGAAGGACAAAAGTAATGTCCTTGGCAAAGTAATGTCTCTGCTTTTTAATATGCTGTCTAGGTTGATCATAGCTTTCCTTCCAAGGAACAAGTGTCTTTTAATTTCATGGCTGCAATCACCATCTGCAGTGATTTTGGAGCCCAAGAAAATAAAATCTGTCACTGTTTCCACTGTTTCCCCATCTATTTGCCATGAAGTGATGGGACTAGATGCTGTGGTCTTAGTTTTCTGAATGTTGAGTTTTAAGCCAACTTTTTCACTCTCTTCTTTCACTTTAATCAAGAGGCTCTTTAGTTCTTCTTTGTTCTCTGCAATAAGGGTGGTCTCATCTGAGTATCAGAGGTTATTGATATTTCTCCCTACAATTGTGATTCTACCTTGTGCTTCATCCCACTCGGCATTTCGCATGATGTACCCTGCATATAAGGTAAATAAGCAGGGTGACAATATACAGCTTTGAGGTACTCCTTTCACAATTTGGAATCAGTCCATTGTTCCATGTCCATTTCTAACTGTTGCTTCTTGACCTACATACAGATGCCTCAGGTTGCAGATAAGGTGGTCTGCTATTTGCATCTCTTTAAGAATTTTCCACAGTTTCTTGTGATCTACACTGTTATAGGCTTTAGTATAGTCAGTGAAGAAGAAGTAGATGTTTTTCCATAATTCCCTTGCTTTTTCTATCATCCAGCAGATGCTGGAAATTTGATCTCTGGTTCCTCTGCCTTTTCTAAATCCAGCTTGATCTGGAAGTTCGTGGTTCATGTACTGTTGAAGCCTGGCTTGTAGAATTTTTAGCATTACTTTGCAAGCATATGAAAGTGAAAGTGAAAGTCGCTCAGTCAGGTCCAACTCTTCGGGACCCCATGGACTGTAGAGTCCATGGAATTCTCCAGGCCAGAATACTGGAGTGGGTAGCCTTTCCCTTCTCCAGAGGATTTTCCCAACCCAGGGATCAAACCCAGGTTTCCCACATTGCAGGCAAATTCTTTACCAACTGAGCCACAAGGGAAGTGTGTGAGATGAGTGCACTTGTGTGATAGTTTGAGAAGTCTTTGGCATTGCCTTTCTTTGGGATTGGAAAGAAAACTGACCTTTTCCAGTCCTCTGGCCACTGCTGAGTTTTCCAAATTTGCTGGCATATTGAGTGCAGCACTTTCACAGCATCATCTTTTAGGATTTGAAATAGTTCAACTGGAATTCCATCACTTCCACTAGCTTTGTTCGTAGTGATGCTTCGTAACGTCCACTTGACTTCACATTCCAGGGTGTCTGGCTCTAGGTGAGTGACCACACCATCATGGTTATCTGGGTCATGAAGACCTTTTTTGTGTAGTTCTGTGTATTCTTGCCACCTCTTCTTAATATCTTCTGCTTCTGTTAGGTCATATCATTTCTGTCCTTTACTGTGTCCATCTTTGCATGAAATGTTCCCTTTCTATCTCTAATTTTCTTGAAGAGATCTCCAGTATTTCCCATTATATTGTTTTCTTCTATTTCTTTGCATTGATCACTGAGGAAGGCTTTCTTATCTTTCCTTGCTATTCTTTGGAACCCTGCATTCAGATGTGTATATCTTTCCTTTCTCCTTTGCCTTTAGCTTCTCTTCTTTTCTCAGCTATTTGTGAGGCCTCCTCAGATAACCATATTGCCTTTTTGCATATCTTTTCTTGGGGATGGTCTTGTTCACTGCCTCCTATACAATGTCACAAACCTCTATCCATAGTTCTTCAGGCACTCTGTCTATCAGATCTAATCCCTTGAAACTATTTGTCACTTCCATTGTATAGTCATAATGGATTTGATTTAGGTCATACCTGAATGACCAAGTGGTTTTCCCTACTTTCTTCAAGTTAAGTCCGAATTTTACAATGAAGGGTTCATGATCTGAGCCACAGTCAGCTCCCAGTCTTGTTTTTGCTGACTGTATAGAACTTCTCCATCTTTGACTGCAATGAATATAATCAATCTGATTTTGGTGTTGACCATCTGTATTGACCATCTGACCATGGTGATGTCCATGTGTAGGGCCTTATCTTGTGTTGTTGGAAGAGGATGTTTGCTATGACCAGTGCATTCTCTTGGAAAAATTCTGTTAGCCTTTAACCTGCTTCATTTTTGTACTCCAAGACCAAACTGGCCTGTTACTCCAGGTGTCTCTTGACTTCCTACTTTTGCATTTCAGTCCCCTATGATGAAAAGGACATCTTTTGTGGGTGTTAGTTATAGAAGGGTGTTAGTTCTAGAAGCTCAGCAGTATGAAATGCAGAATACTGGATGTAATGGCAAAAAGAAAAATGTATAAACCTGAACACCTATCCCTTAACATGCCACAGCTAATACTGAATCAGTTGTAGCTCTTGTATGAGTTGGAGAAGGCAAAACCTAACACGTCGTTTTCTTCATTTCTATTTGAGCAATTTTTCATGTTATCTATGAATTGCAATATTTGCAATATTTGCTACCAAATATCCAGACACTGTTGTGTACCCTACCCCTTTTATATACTATTCCTAATCCTCATAAATCTTCAGAAAATTAATTATTATATCTTTCTCAGTTTAGGAAAGTGAGTTAAAAAGAAGTTTAAGTGGTTCACTTAAGACTAAGTGCTAAGGCCCAAAACAGGAATAACTAGAACATTATACCTGGGAAGATCTGCTGGAGAAGGGATAGGCTACCCACTCCAGTATTCTTGGGCTTCCCTTGTGGCTCAGCTGGTAAAGAATCCACCTGCAATTTGGGAGACCTGAGTTCGATCCCTGGGTTGGGAAGATTCCCTGGAGAAAGGAAAAGCTACCCACTTCAGTATTCTGGCCTGGAGAATTATAGTGCACAAGGTCACAAAGAGTCGGGCATGACTGAGCGACTTTCACTTCACTTCAGGAAATGGCTAAGGGGGTTTGCATGAATAAAGCAAGAGACAATTGGTGGAAATGAAATAAGAACACTGAACAAAAGTTTCCTTTTAGCAAAGATTTACTTACAGACCAAGCACTTTACACCATATACATAATGCTCATTAAAAATGTTACATCAGGGACTTCCCTGATGGTCCAGTGGTTAAGACTCTGCAGTACCAAGGCAGGGGTCCTGGGTTCAATCCCTGGTCAGGGAACTAATATCCCACATGCCACATGGAGTAGCCACAAAAAGAAAAAGATGTTGCATTAGTCCAGACACTAAGTTTGGAAGGTGTGTGTTAGTTCATCTGGCAGGAAAAGGGAGTCAGGGCAGCCTGAATATCACATGTACTATATCTGTGCCCAGCTAAAGATGAATGTGTCATAACTAGAAAACAGTAAGTATTCTGACAGAGCCTTGATTTGTGGATGGGGCTCCAGACAGGTTGGAAAGATAAGCATTAACCACGTCATGCTAAAAGACTTGTGTAATATATTACCTAGGGTTCTACTGTATTGCATGTTTGCTCCCAGTCAGGGAATGTCATCTCCCAGCATTGTGAGGTCAGGAAACATACTGGAAGAAGAGTTAGGAGGCTGTTGCAAAACTCCAGTGGAAAAAAAAAATAAAGGTCATAATGTTTAACTTAAAAAATAAAAATAAAAAAACCCCAGTGAGCTAGGAGTACATGAAAGAGGGAGAAACAAGAGCATTTCAATTATAAAACCTATCAAAATGCTTTTTAAAAAAAAATTTAAAGACTTCCTATTTAATCGTAACAACACAGCACAATAGATACACAATTGGATTTTAACAACTCAGAGGCTAAGGACATCAACCCTCAGTACTAGGAAATCCCTGCTATAACTTATAGTCAGCCCTCTGTATACAGGCTTCCTGCACATCTGCAGTTCCCATCTACAGATGTAACCAACCTCAGATTGTGTAGGACTCTAGTATTTACTATTGAAAAAATTCCACAGATAAGTGGACCCATGCAGTTCAAACCCAAGTTGTTCAAAGATCAACTGTATATTAACAACAGCTCATATTTATTGAGCCACTATCAAGTCAGGCATCAAATCTTAGGGATACATTTGAGTACATTGATTAAGAACTTTCACTGCTTACTAGCTATATGACCTTGGGAAATGAATCTGCCTAGGCCTCAGTTTTCTCATCTGTAAAAACAGGAGTTTTGCAGTATTTTTGTAAAGACTAGTGAAATACAATGTACTTAGAATTATTCCTTGCAGGGCTTCCCAGGTGGTAAAGAATCCATCTACTAATGCAGGAGACCCAAGAGACACGGATTCAATCCCTAGATCAGGAAGATCCTCTGGAGTAGGAAATGGCAACCCATTCCAGTATTCTTTTCTGGAAAATTCCATGGACACAGGAGCCTGGTGGGCTACAGTCCAGGGTGTCACAAAGAGTCAGACACGTCTGAGTACAACATCTACAAGAAAATAGTAAGCAACCAAAAAATATTAGCTATCATTATCATATTTAAATTTCACAGTGCTTTTATTAGTCTGTGTGTGCCATGGCACTGAAGAAGAAACAGAATCTCAATGAGAAATTAAGTAACTTGTCAATCAGAATTAGGCTCTTTTGATTCCTGATCTTACACAGGAGAGAAGAACCACATGGCTTCCAGTCCTCACAACTGCCAATTTCATCATGATACACAAGAAACTGTGATCGAGGTAGATGCCATCATCCAAGGCTTATCCATTAGTAGCTTCTATGAGAGGTCTTTCTGAGCCAAATAAGGATCTCTTTTCTTATCTAATTTATTGTGCTGTTTCTTGGAATCCTTTTACAGCATTTCTATCTTCCCTGACATTTAATTTGCAATCCCAGGAAACCAGAAACTCTCACGTATGCAGTTGCCTAGGCTTCCAAAGCAGGGGGATACTCCCTTAACTAGGCAACAGATATTTCCAGCAGAAATCTCAGTCAGTTAACGTGGTAACGTACAGTGGGTGTTCAGTTATGTTTGCAATGAGTCAGCCACATTTCTCTGCCCAGAGCTTCTCAGAGCTGATAGTGCCATGTAAACAGAAAAATCAAGGTTGACCCTAATTATGATAAAGACACAGTCCTACATCCTATTAAAACTATTGTCAGTCTAATGGTATTGTCTATATGATTTTAATCATACTAATAAAGCTACCTTTACCGGTTGGTTACTTACCATGTCATACAGGTAAGGCTCAAAGAGGTCTGCTAATTTGTCCAAGGTCACACAGCTAGTATATATATATTTTTTTATGGCTGCTATCACAAAGGACTATGAATTTAGTAGCTTAAAATAATACTAATTTATTTTCTTACAGTTCTGGGGATGAGAAATCCAAGTCTCACAGTGCTAAAATGAAAGAGTCAACAGAATTGTTCCATTTCTTTCTAGAAACTCTAGGAACCTATTTCTTTGCCTTTTCTACCTTTTTGAGACTGCCTATATACCCAGGTTCATGGCCCTTTTCCTTATCTTTCAAAACCAACAATGTTGTCATTCTGACCTCTGCTTTCATGGTCACATCAATTTCTCTGCTTTATACTTACATCTTTTAATTGGAAGGACCCTTATGATTACATTGGTCTGGCCTGGCTAATCCTTTTTTTAAGATCAGCCAATTAGCAGCCATAAGCCTACCTGCAACTTAAATCTCCTTTGCCATGTAACAACACAGTCCAGGTTCTCAGCATTAGCATATGCATATCTTTGAAGAGTCATTATTCTGCCAATCACAGCTAATACAACTGGAAAAGTCAGGATTGGAACCTAAATATATCTGATTCTGAAGGCTATGTTCTTAACCATCATACTGTATCAAACTACTGCAAAAACATCCAGTCCTCATCTTCAAAAGGAAATGACTGAGAATGGGTCTCATGGTTCTCATCAGATTTGTTCCCCCAAGCAACTAAATGATTAATATTTATGTTGTTAATCCGAAACTCTGTGATCTTATTTGAGCACAACAAAGAGCAGAATAAAGTGGGCAGCAAAATGGTTATTATTAGCCCCATTTCAGGTAGTAAGACTAGAGAAAATAAGTGTCATGAGCAGAGTTTCACTTTAAATAATTGACAGAACCATCTCAAACCCTGAGCTTTTGATCTGGACCCTTTAAATGCCTCCTCCTAATTGTGTTAGTCACTCAGTCATGTCTGACCTTTTGTGACCCCATGGACCGTACAGCCTGCCAGGCTCTTCTGTCCATGAGATTTCCCAGACAAGGATACTGGAGTGGGCTGCCATTTCTTTCTCCAGGGGATCTTCCCGACCCAGGGGTCAAACCCGGGTCTCCTGCATTGCAGTCAGATGCTCTACCATCTGAGCTACTAGGGAAGCCCAACCAACCAAACTCCAATTTTAAAAAGTCATTTATTTACAGCTGGACTCAATTTGAACTCCTCCACATTTTGGCTGCATGGCACTTAAGTCCCTCAACCACTTTGAATCTTTGTTTCTTCATCTCTAAGTGGAAAATAAGAACACCTGTTCTGAAAGCTTGTTAGGTAAAAGAGTGATAATGAAAGAAGTAGCCTAGCACACAATACTGGAGAAGGCGATGGCACCCCACTCCAGTACTCTTAATTGGAAAATCCCATGGACGGAGGAGCCTGGTAGGCTGCAGTCCATGGGCTCACTAGGAGTCAGACACAACTGAGTGACTTCACTTTCACTTTTCACTTTCATGTGTTGGAGAAGGAAATGGCAACCCACTGCAGTGTTTTTGCCTGGAGAATCCCAGGGATGGGGGAGCCTGGTGGGCTGCCGTCTATGGGGTCGCACAGAGTCGAGCACGACTGAAGTGACTTAGCAGCAGCAGCAGCGCATAATAGGTGTATAATAATAGTATCCATTTATTACTGCATGAAAAACCAGTTGACTTCACAATTACTCTATGGTATTACACCATACTGTTCAGAGAGCTTTTGGTAAATATGCAACTAGAACCAGCTTCCTCAGAATAAATAGGCAAAATTCCCTGCTCCGTGACAAGAATTTGTTCATCCAGAGAGAAACATCCTGATTTTATGCCTTTCTAGGATTCACCTGGATGGAGGTGGAATTTGACTGGGCTACAGGTAATCAGCAAGACACTTCAAAACTCCATTAGAATCTCTAGGACTTTCATTTTGTTGGTAGTGTTTTATTCATTTTTTATTAGTATTCTAATAAAGAATTCTCCATGGTCTCTGTATTCTCCATGGTCCAGAACCACAGATTGGAAATAAAATGACTCTATCTGGAGTATACTTTCCTTGAGTGTCTTGCTCTAAACTCTAAAGAGGGAATTTTCATCAAGGCTAACCAGTACAGAGATGCTCATGGAGGAAAAAAATGAAAGCCACAAGACATTATAAGTGCATGAACCTCACTGGAAACTGTACATCAATTCCCCAGGCCAACAGCCAATTCTTTACCTATCAAAATCCTACTTATCCTTGGTCACTCAATTGAGGAATCTCTCCACATTTGCCTGCATAACTAATGCTCCTTCCTCTTTACCTACAACACATTGTTCAGCTATCTGATTTCTATGTCTTGTAGTAGGGATTATAATCTATGTAACTCTCCCAATATTTTAGTGACTACTATCTATCCAACTCCCCATTTCCAAGGCCTGAGTACAGAAAGCTTTACTAAGTGTCCCATGTGGTAAATCTACATATCTACATGTTAAAGGTGCTGGTAATATCAAAGAGTCAAAGGCTATGTGCAAGCTGCATGATTTCCAGTCAATGTTCATTCAAGGAGTATCTACTGAGCACTTATTCAGCACCTGGTCCCATGAAGAATGAAAGACAAGTGTATGCTCTGTGCGCAGAGAACTTGCACTGTGATAGAAGAGGGAGATAAAAAGACTGCTTTAAGTCACTGGGTAAGGGCACAGGGGCCGTGAGAATACAGAGAAGAGGATGTACCTGGGCTGAGCGATCTCTTCGGGAAAACGGTTTTGGTCCTGGTTTTCAATTCTCACTTAAAATAAGGGAGTTGGAATAAGCCCGAGGGGGCTGACTCTCAGGCCATGGGTTATGTCTAGCCCACATACGTGAGATCCACCTACTACATTGGCCCTCATAGAGGTTTCTTTCTTTTTCCTAAACAAATATCAGAAGTGTTGGCAACATGGGCCCCGTTTTTCCACTGACAATGATCTGCTGAACTGAGATGTGGATGTCGTCTGCATCTGC